CCCTCTCTCTCTCTCTCTCTCTCTCTCTCTCTCATATTAGAATGGTTAATTGTAGTTTTTTTGGTGAGATGGGGGAGGGAATTCAGGGGCATGGGAAGAAAAAACTCTTCCTCCAGACTTATTTGACTTTATAGAGAGCACTCTCATGAGATTGTCATCTGAAAAACCCAGATGTTGCGATGGTATGTATGACGGAATGAGATCTGTAAGATATAGTGGTCCATTGTTGTTCATGAACAATTTGTCTCGCGATCTCGGTCTTACTGCTTGGATGTTGTATACATCGCGACCCAGGTTTTTACCCTGACAGGCAGGTTTGAAGCCAACCTCCTAATTGATATAAACTGTTGTGACTGCTGGGGCCGGAGTAGGGGGGGGGTAGGGTAAGAATGCTTATATTTAAACAGAAACTGGACGACGAAAGCAGAACACGAATAGCTGAAGGAAGGGGGGGGGGTGCATATCTGCCTTCTACCACTCTATGATTTGGGTTGACAAATAGAATTATGATAATAATAAGTGACCCACAGCAAACACAAAACTCCAACATCAAAAGCTTTTCTTTTCTATTTCTTTCTTATTCTCTTTGAACAGTAACAGAAAGAAAACTCTGACTGTATTCTCAAATAACATTAAGCTGTTGTTTATGCCATTTGAAAAAAAGTGGTCTTTATTGGGAACTATACACATGTTATCTTCCAAAAAGACGGAGAGAAAAAAAGAGCCCAAAGTGCATTGACTCGTTCACGGAGAACATGAAATCGCTTATCGAAAGCAAATAGCGTTTCCTTTTGTTTGGTCAATCGTTAAAGCTATAATGCAGTTCAGGAGTCCATGATTAAGAAAAGCGCTTATTGCTCAAGAACTTTGGGATTTGGTTCAGGGTTGTTTCTTTTTTAAATTTATCCTCCTCATGACTTGAGAGCCATAACATGCATCGGAAAGTATAAAAAGAACAGCAGCTGCTAACAACAGTATATGCGGCTATCTATTCATTAATTAATTCATTCATTCATTCATTCTATCAAAATATTTATTTATTTATTTATCGAAAGATTGATGTGTTGTGACCACCAGCGTAAATTAGATCACATCACGAGACGTCTCCTTAAGAAAAAAAAACAACCAAAGTATAAAACCAGTAATGACTTGGACATGTCAGGACAGCGTTAGGATTTAGTGGAAATGAAATAATTAAATCTTTTAAAAGGCCTCACTTTTTCAGCTTCATCCTCATCCTCATCCTCATCCTCATCCCCACCCCTACTCTACTCTGACTTCCAAAATAAAACCCAAAGAAGAAAGCAAACAAACCCCCCCACATGTATCTGTATTGCGACCACGTCCACGCCCCCCCCCCCTTGAAAAAATAGAATAAATAAATAAATAAATGAATGGAGAAAGAAAGAAAGAAAGAAAGAAAGAAAGAAATGAAAACAAAATCAACGCAGTGGTGGAAGACAAGAAAAACACTTTTTGTACGTTGCAGAAATCGATTACAAAAAGAACATTAAATTTTAAAAAAGATCGAGTCACACTTTTCCACCCTCATCCTCACCTTTCTGTTCTAATTTTTCCCCAAAACACACGTTTCGGTATTGTCCATAAAAAAGATACAAAACAAAAAACCCCACCCAAAACAAAACAAAACAAACAATGGTGCACTACAGTAACTGCAAATCTTAGTAATACAATAACATAATTTAAAAAAACAACAACTACTATTTCTACTCTGTAGAAATCGAAACTAACCACAAATAAAGTAGCATATCATAACCGAAAGACAAGAGAATCTCTTACCTGAAGGGCACCAGACGACAGTAATTGAAATCAGTCACATCATCAATGGTGACCTGTCATTAAGGCCAAAACAACAGAACTCTCTGCTGAGGGGGATGCTGTGGGACTACTGATCACCTGATCCACGGGGTCAGATCCGAGCAAGGGTCCTTGTTGGGGCTATACTTCAAGACTTGTAATGACACGGGGGAGAGGCTGGAGGGTAGCGCTCGCTGTGCGATTTTGAGGAAACGAAACGAAACCAAGTCGATGCATCGAAGTGTGGAGTCACTATTCGTGCTAATCGAATACCGCGTAAGATTTATTATTTTTTAATGTTATTAGTCCATCAACAATATTCGCTGTTTAATACCCACGACTTCACTTATCACTCTGCCTTATAATCATTAAGTACTATGTATTGCTGTATCTACGTCAGTGATTTCTACTACTATATGTACCCTAATGTTACGACGGGTTGAGAAAAATGAGAATGAAATCCATATTCTGTAAAAACCACACAGCATTCGAAAAGTTCTCCACTCCTCGAATAGTTGGAAATAGCACCCACACCGTGATTGTTGAATAGTAGAATCGAATGAGCACAGTTTAGCTGGACGGGGACATTCGCAGGATAGTCGTCCTCTCAAACGGACAGACGACCCTCGTCGTGTAGCAGACGACAACAGGGCCCAAAACACACAGCCCGTCTGGTGGACGAGCGGCCGCGGGGTCTTGTGTCGCCCGCCCTCTCTCTCTGTCTCTCTCTCTCTCTCTCTTTCTTTCTCTCTCTTTGCTGTCTGTGAAGGCTGGAAAGTGG